ATACATATATACATATATACAATGTAGAGGTTGCGTTCTTCGTTTGACGTTCGTAGAAGCAGTTGTTGAATGTTATGGTATTACCAGTATGAACTTTAGATCCGAATTGGGCTTTCAACCTCGTATATATTTTGAATCGTGGGTCGTATTTTAGTCTTGGTGCTGAGATTGTCCGAAATCCCAGAGGTCGGCAACCAAAAACATTTGCCGGGGATCTTTCATCCTGAGCAGTGCTGATTGAAAACCCTAAACCCTATACCCTAAACCAGTTCGCTTCATGGAGTGGAGATTCAACGGGCTGCGCCCAGAGGCTGGCCGCGTTCACACGGGTGCTTGAACGGAGCTCACACATGAAGTGCGATAGGTACCGGAACAACATCATGAGAATCATTGGTGCTCGTGCTGGCGAGCGGGCAAAAGAAGCAGACAAACCCTGCAATTACGTACGACGTAGGCTTCATTCCCATTGCCAAAGCGTCCCAGGGGGGCAGAGGGTTCCTTGAAGCCCCTTGCTGCCCAAGCGGTTACTGCGGGAGGTGCACATTTTCCGGGCACAGAAACCCTCGCCTAAGCCTGCGTCCTCCACGGATAGAGCTTCTGGGTAGCCCCCAACCCTTTTTCACCCAAAGTCCGCGGACCTCAACCCTTGATTAATTTTGCCTGCAGATTCACAGACTCCCAGATACAAGGATGGCAGCGTGCCCACACAGGGCCTCACGGACCGCGGCGAAGCATCCTCGCTGCTTGCGAGCCCCGGTTCAATCGAGCAAAGAGGGTTCAAGTGATTCAAGGGTTCTCAGCAGCTTCATGGGTTTCGTGTCCGCGAGACTCAAAGGCCGTTGAGTATTGTCGTTCCCCACGCGACGCGTGAGGAAGTGTTCGGCCCCAGGACGTTCTCAACATCCGGCGAGCAGTGACAATAGCCTTGGACGTGCTTGCACTTTGACAGAGATTGCACATAGTTTGATTCCTTATCTTCTTAACTGGGGGACCCAATTAGGAATTGAGAAAGCCGAGGGAAAACGAGCGCAAGATCGCTGCGCTTGACGCCTTCAACATCCCCCAGGCTTGCTGGCTTTGCAGTCAATGCCTGCAGGATTGGAGTTGATCGGAAGCGTGTCTCATGTCGTGAGTATGAAAAAAGCAAACCTTGCGAGCATTTGGAAGGTTCTCGTGTGTCGTGCTTGACGATAATGCAACAAGCACGGGGTGAACTTTGGCAGACTCACCACCACGAGAACTTAACATCCTGTCCATCTTGGATATTTCTTGAACCATTCGTAACCTTTAGTACGGCGCAAAAGCTCTTGACTCTCCGTGCTGCTCAGGCGATCGAAAGACGTTTCGGAGTAGGGGCCGCCGCGCTGACAAGCGTGGTCGTGGCCTCCTTGATCTTCTGGAGATTCAAAAAGAGACCTTCGAGTTCGTCGCAAAGCCCTTTGGCCACAACGATGCCTAAGCCACAACTGCGATCCATAGGCTTAGGCCTCTTGAGGCAAGCTTGAAGTCATCTTTCTTTCCTTCCTAGTTCCTGTTTGGTATGCTAGTGAAGGAATCGCAGGTGCATGGGGCAAGATTGGCGGGACTTTTACGTAGGGTTGATGAGGGGACATCTTCTAGCTTCCCTACTCCATGTTCCAACATGTTCCACACAAGGGAGAGCTGCATACCAGCTTTGGAGAGAAAACTCAGTCAAAGAACAACGCACACAAGCAGGTATCTGAATTTGACAAAAACAGAATACCTGAAATGCATGTACTGCAAGCTGCAAAAAGCACAGCGCTTGCCCCCCAGAATCCAAGTTACTCGGAGATGAGGACAGACAGTCGTACCGTCGTACACGCGGACAATGCAGGGCCCCGAAAGAAACTACAGCGCACTGTTTAGCACCACATGCTGCCATTCAGCAGTGCATGCTGCAAGCGGAGTGGGTTTAGGGACTCACCTAAAGTATCCTAAAGTGCCATGTCCTCAGGCCACATCAAGCTTGCCCGCTAATGAATATTCAACATAGCCAGGTGATCTAGTAAGCAGCATACCCCTAAACGCCCAGCTACTGGTACCAGAATTGGTGACATTTTGACCACCTTTTGCTTCAAGGCCTCCTTGTCCTCCTTTGCGCGGCGGTTCTGTTCATGGCGGTGCCTTCTGAAGGCACTGCCACCGCCGTTTATGCGACTTGGTTTGGGGTGGTTTAAGGTCGTGGGTTTGGGGTTTGGGGGTGCTGTCAAAAGCCATTGTGAAGGGAAGTCACCATGGCCGGGAAGCATGGCAGAGTCGGCAAGCAGTGGAGCTCTTCCTTTCTTCTTGGAGGGGTTGGGGGTTTTTGGGGCTTATATGGTTTAGGGAGTTAAAGAAATCCGTCCCAAGGTGACGGACGGTGCGGGTGCAGCCGTATTGGATGATGGACGGCTGGTGACCTGGGGCGATGCAGGCGGGCCTCGCAGGAAGATCAAGGGCTGTTGTTTCAGGTTGCGGGCTCAAGGTTTTAAGGCGTGCACGTGGGTTGTGGACTCTAGGGTTGTGTGTTTCGCTGGGTCCCGTCACGGCCCAGGCACTCCCAAGCGCGCGGCAAGTTTGTAATTTCGCTTGTGGTTGACTCTTTGCGGTATCAAGTGTTGTTCTTTCATGCGTGGCTTCCACTTTTCTGCGTACTGGCATGTTGTTTAACAACGTCGTGCGCCCAACAGACATCCTGGGCTGTGCTTTAGACCCAAAGCAAAGAACTTCTGGAGGGGACTCCGAGTGTGACCCAGGCTATGGAGGCGACTCCTCGTCCGTGGCATCTCAACTGACAAATGTTCAAGAGGTGGTCACCACTTCAAGGGCATTTGGGGCCTTGAAAAGCGATGGCAGCGTCGTTGTTTGGGGTGATTCCGGCTTTGCTGGCGACGCAAGCTCACTCGCTGCACCACTGTCAAGCGGCGTGACCAAGATCGTGTCTGGTTTCTTCGCCATGGCCGCGCTAAAGTCTGATGGTAGTGTCGTTGCCTGGGGCAGTTCCGTTTTTGGTGGTGACACCAGCTCTGTTGCTGCCCAGCTAACCTCGGGCTGCGTGGGCTTGTATTCGAACAAGCACGCCTTCGTAGTGCTGAAGAGCGACGGATCAGCGGTAACCTGGGGTAGCGGTGCCTCATTGACATCACCAGAAGACATCACATCGCTCATCGACTCCACGGTAACTGAGATCCTAGGATCTCATCATGCCTTTGCTGCATTGCGGGCCGATGGAAGAGTGGTCACCTGGGGCGACGTCAATACTGGGGGCGACTCCAGGATGCTTTCCTCACAGCTGTCCTCTGGTGTGACCAGCCTTCATGGAGGTTCCATGCAGTTTGCCGCGTTGAAGTCCGATGGCACAGCATTGGTGTGGGGCATGGGGCCTACGGGGAGTACTTGGGGCGAAGCCTTCTCGTCAGCCAAGAGCTTTGCGTTCTCCCATACGGCCGTGGCCATTGTGTTCACGGATGGCACAGTGGCCACCCGCGGACACTGGTCTGTTTTGGAGCGAATTCACCATGACAAGGGTTTTATATAGTTTAGATGCCAGTGAGCACAGAAGTTTGTGATTAAGCTGAATCCCAAAACCTCTCCAGGAAATACCAATACTCAGTATGGCGCGGATTCGAGCGCGGTCTCAGCACAGTTGACGGATGTGGATCGCATCTATGGCGGCTGGCATGCCAGTGCCTTCATCGCAGTGACCGTGCTGCAGTTCAGAGATTCAGGGTTTCCGATCATTAGTGGCGCGCCGCCTCGGCAGCCGGACCGGCCCCAAGACAGGAAAGGATGAAAGAGGGTTTCTGCAAAAATGGGGAGGAAGGGTCCAGGTCCGGGGGTCGTATAAAAATTAAAGAGGTTTAAAGGTGTTTGAGGGGTCCAGGAAAGGGGGTGGGGGAGGGGCGCTCCCTCCGCCTACAGGCGGGACCCTCCACGGTCCCACAACGGCAGGGGGGGGGGGGGGCGG